AAATTTTGCATTACTATTTTCAAGTTCTCACCGGGAAAACTATGCTTCGAAAACCCAAGACTTTCAATCTCAGTCGTAAACAACTCGAAACGTCAAGCCTTGCTTACTCATGTCCCCTCTGTACCGACGGCTGGAAACCAGTCAAGTACCAGTGTAGGTGGTACGGTTTCTGCGGCGATTCGGAGCTAGGGCCTCGAGTTGCAAGACCTCTGACGAAAACAACTGTCAGTGGTCATATTTCATTGAAACACGCGCGTGACTTCTTCTACTTTAGCCGTGCCTTCTCCGTCTGCCTTTGACGTGATTTTGGGCGAGCACGTGTGAGATCATATGTCATCTGTATCACTAACACCTATGCTGAACGTCGGCTACATGTTCGAACCTAGGTCCGATTTGACCACCATGGTTCAAATTTTTTTCTTACCGGTAGTCGTATCATGCTAGGTGAAACTTTTGCATGATTTTCTTGTCATAAATGACATTGAGTTATTTTCCTCCTGTACAGGAAGAAGAGGAACAGGAAATCGAGAGCGAAGAAACAGAAGCAGAAGCTGTGGAGCGTTTTACTGAGGAAATCACGGAAATGGTTGAGACGGAAACGGGTAACGCGGAGGAAGTTCTAGAGTCTCTTACCGAAATCAGGGTGCCCCACGTCAGCGTCAAAGCTTCTGACAGCATAACTAGAGTCCGCTTTCGACTAGTCAAGGTGAGTGGGTTACGTAGCCTTTTTTCCTCTACAGCCCAATGGTCAACTATCTGAGTTAAAATAAGTACTCATATTTACAGACACCAACGCGTATGCATATCACCGCTTCATCTTAGAAACCCATTCCCCTCGGTCCGTTTGTTTAGGAACTTAGACCAAACTCTACGACACTGCCTTTTCGAGTGCTTAACTAAACTCGTTATCGCAAACATACGTTTCCTACAAAAGAGTAGTCATCTAGTCGAGACTTGTGTGGAGTCTGTTCTTTTGAAGCGAATTCGAGTGATTTCCAGCAAAAAAATGCAATACTTGAATGTAAGGGGCTGCAGACTAGTATCCAGTCCGAAAAGACCTGGATAGTTCTCTATTCGTTGTATGCATCATTACCGCTCACGTTATCCGTGGCTATACTTCGCAGTCCCGACGGTCCAACTAGTCATGGGCCTATCGCGGTGGGTTCAATTGCTAGACAAAACCCTTGCCATTGCGGCCTTCAGGCCAGAAAACTAAACATGTGCAATTGATATGCCTAAGATCAATGAAACAGCTTTTGAAGATTAATAACCTCTTTCAAAAGAACTGTAACTAGTTATTAAGCTGACGAATATCTGCCTTTTTTCAGGTTAACATCAATGTAGAATGAGAATTTTAAACTGTTTTTTTTTTGTTTTCCTGCGAACTACTGACACAGTTTCGCCTGAGAATAACGAAACTCACTGTTATCTTTATATTGGAACGTTTCTTGCTATTCAGAAGACTTTTTGGTGAGCCCACGTAGGCTTTCGATAAATTCTCATAAGGCCACTACATTTACATATTAACAAGTGGTCAATAATGCTCGTCTTCTCTGACAAGCGCTTCGTGGTAATCCGAGAGAGGGGGTCGATAAGAGAAGGATGTTTATGCGGGCAGTCCATCTCCAAAGACTCCTGTAAGAGTTCGAAAGCTCAGGACAATAAAACAATTTATCCAGTTTTCGAAACGTCTTCTTCCTTGTCTATACAAATACCTGGAATGCGAACCTTTTCATTCATAATAAATATAATAATAAGCTAAAAACTAAACTTTAAAGTGAACTTAAATATCAAGAAGTTAAATACACCAAATAAAATAAACTAACTTAAAGTTGTTGCGTACGTAAATGGAACGTGTGTGCGAAGCTTCTCACCAGGAAATATACTAATCTAACTCCAGAACGGTAAGTTGGACCTCAGGTTATTTGGAGTAGACGACCTTCTTACCACCAAATTTTTCAGGTGTATCAAAAAAACCAGTAAACTATACAGTATAAGTAAGTAAAAAATATCCAAATTTGTCACCCCCAATAAACTACAAGTAAGTAGGGATATAAGTACACTTCTGTATGTATTTATGGCGCACTATTTTGTTGTGAAAAAATTAGATTATATAATAGCAGATACGCGTACA